GGTGCCGCAGGGTCACCCAGCTGCTGGAGCGCCTCAATCGAGTGGTGGAGGAGAGCAACCTGTTTGACCCAGAGCGGCCGAACCTGGGCTCGGAGCTCGAGGCCCTGCGCCAGCACCTGGAGGCCCTCAGCTCAGGCCCCGACGCCTGGAAGAGCCACTTGGACAGACCTGTAGGTGCGTCCTGGGCAGGCTGGACTGCATGTGTGTGTGCATGCGTGTGTATGGAGTGGGGCCCAGGCCCAGGTTTCGGTGTCAGCGGAGTTAGAACCCAGCTGGGTGACTTCCTGCCATGGGCTGGGTCTGTGTCTCAGGCCCTTCGTCTAAGCCAGCGATTTCCAACCCATGAGCCAGCCACAAGAATTTTTACTACATGCAACACCTGACTGTTTAGTCAGGGGCACTGATCTCTTTTCCTGAGATTGTCAAGTAAAAAAAAAAAAAATGACAGCAGCCAACACAGCAATAGCTGACTGGTGTGAACGAATAAAAACTGTACCTGTTTTACTTTCATCAGGTCAGCAAAAAATACATTTTTTGGTGTGCGGTGGAATTTTAGTAATTATGTGTCCTGTTAGATGAAAAGGTGGGGAACGGCTGGTCTACACTGCTGTTCTGAGTTCCCAGGGTGCAGCACTCAGGTGGGCCTGGCCGAGCTGCCCGCCACAGTGGCTGAGCTGTGGGGCCAGGAGCTTGGTCGGCTCTGAGCCTGGTCAGAGCTGGCCCTCAGCCCCGTCCCTCTGCCTGTCCAGTGTCCTCCTTCTCTCTGGACTCGGTGGCCAGGGACCCGAGGGAGCTGTGGCGTTTCCTGACACAGAACCTGTCACTGCCTAACAGCACAGCCCAGGCCCTCCTGGCTGCCCAGGTGGATGTGCCCGAGGTGAGGTGGGGTGAGCGCTGGCAATGAGGGCGTGTCTGCTCTTGGGGGCCGCTCCCAGGCCTGGCCACTCTGCTCTGCCCTCCCCTGGTTGCAGGGCTGGGGGTGAGGGGCATGCTGGGCTCTGAGACCCCAAGCCTGAGCCGCACCCGCCCCGTACTCCAGGTCTATCGTCTGCTCTTTGGCCCTTCACCCGCCCTGGGCGTGGAGTCAGTCCTCCCCAGGGGTCAGAAGCCTTGGGGCCGCCTGGGTGCCAGTTCCCTGCTCCGGTTGGAGGTGAGGGGGCCTGTTAGTGGGAAGGGAGGGTGCTGCCTGCTGGTGGATGCAGAAAGGGGCTCCATTGATAATTCTGAGCTCCTTCTGGGGGTGAGGGAGGGCCCTGGGGGTTCGTGGCTGGCATGGGGAGGGGGAAGGCAGGATGGTGACCTGTATCTGCCCCCCGTTTCCTACTGGAGAATCTGTGAACTCAGATCTGGCACAGTGGGTGGGGCAGTGAGGCCTGAGCTGTCTTGTGCCAGGGCCCTGGTTCCTCTTGGTTGGGGCTCCTTCCCAGCTCTTCCCCTACACTGCCCTCCAGGAGCTGCTGGTGGCCCCCACCCTTCTGGAGCAGCTCACATGCGCACCGGGCTCTGGGGAGCTGGGCCGGATCCTCACTGTGCACCAGGGTCAGCAGCCAGCACTGCAGCGCTATCGGGACATTGTCTGCAGTGGGCAGGCCGTAGTCCGTGCCCAGCGCTTTTCTGAGCTGGCTGCAGAGCTCCAGAACCAGCTGGATGTGGACAAGATCGCCCAGCAGGTGAGGAGGCCCTGCCTGCCAGCTGGCCCGCAGGTCCAATGCCCAGGCTGGAGGAGGTGCTGGAGCCCCTGCAGGGCCTGGGCCTGTGGCTGTGCGGGCGGGGCCTGTGGCTGGGCGTCCTGTACCCTGCAATGATGCCATGCCCTGCACCCCCACCCAGCCCTATGTCCTCACCTCGGCCTGTCTCTCCCGGTCCCTGGCCAGTGCTCCCTTACCCCCCGGCTGCAGACTCTCCCTCAGCCCCTCCCCCCAGCCCGTATCCCTCTGCTGGTGTCCTCCCTGTTCCGCCCTGACCTCAGTCACCAAGCTGTCCATCAACGCCCAGCCCCCGTTCCCTCCTGCCCTTGGGCCTGCATGTCCCCACATATCTGATTTCTCCTCAGCTGGGCCTGGAGGCCCCCAATGGCTCAGCTCCCCAGCAGCAGCCGCCACCTCCCCGGCGGCTGCAGGCACTGCTGGAAGACCTGCTGGACGCCCAGAAAGTTCTGCAGGACGTGGACGTCCTGTCGGCCCTGGCCCTGCTGCTGCCCCAGGGCGCCTGCACCGGCAGGGCTCCTGGACCCCCAGCCAGCGGTCCTGGTGGGACAGCCAACGGCACAGGGGCTGGGGTGGGCACGGGTTCCAACACCACCGCTGAAGACGGTGCCCTGTCCGCCGCAGCCCCCACCTCGGAGGCACTGCAGGGCCAGTGCTCTGCCTTCGTGCAGCTCTGGGCAGCCCTACAGCCCATCCTGTGTGGCAACAACCGGTAGGTGGGAGGCAGGGAAAGGGCTGAGATGGGGCCTGACCCCAGGGTCTGGCTCTGACTCCCCGCATCCCCTGACTTGGTGCCCTACCCCACTCCAAGCCTCTTCTGGGGCGCCTACGCTGAAGCCCTGCCTCATGCCCGCCCCACCCGATCCTGAATGCCTGCTCCCACCCTTGAGGCTCCACCCCATCCCACGCCCACCCCTGAGGCCCCACCCCCACTCCTAACCGCGTGTCTTGGCCCCAGCACCATTGAGCCAGAGGCACTGCGAAGAGGCAACATGAGCTCCCTGGGCTTCACAAGCAAGGAACAGAGGAACCTGGGCCTCCTGGTGCACCTCATGACCAGCAACCCCAAGATCCTGTACGCGCCTGCGGGCTCTGAGGCCGACCGCGTCATCCTCAAGGTGCGGCCTGGGGTCTGAGCTGCAGTCTTCTGGGGCTGGAGCTGGAGGAACTGGAGGGTGGGGTCTGCAGGCTGAGATCCCTGTGCAGAGGGGGTGCAGCCGTGGCCCTCAAGCTCTGACATGGCTCTGTGGGTGACAGAACTCGTGGGCGGGATCCGGTGCTGGGGTGCATGGGAGCTGGTGTGGGACCGGGTACTGGCCTGGCTGGGTGTGGCCAGGGCCCCGCGGCACTGGTGTGGGAGCGGAAACCTTCCAGAGCAGTGTCCAGTGGGCGAGAGGTGGGCCAGGCAGCTGGGGGGTTTGAGGCCAGCTGAGGGCAAGGTGTCCGTGGCCAACCCAGGGGAGAGGTCCTGTACGGAGCAGGCAGAAACCAGGGCTGGAAATGGCCCAGGGAAGGGAGAGGCTGAGTGTGGGGAGAGGTGAGGACCATGTGCCAGGGCTGTTCAAGGGATGCATGGACAGGGGTCTGAGGAAGGGGCTGGGAGGGCACCGCTGGGGAGACAGGAGAAACGGACGCCTCGCTGCCCTGGAGTAGTGGGGCAGAGTGAGGTTCAGGGGGAGCTGCAGAAAGGCAGGGAAGGGGCAGGGCTCAGAGCTTCCAGGTGGCAGCTTCGCCACAGCAAGAGTAGTTGTTGGTGGGCACTGGCAAGTGGATGGTGCCCGCGGTGGTGGTGGTGAGGGAGTGGGGAAACCCCTTGCTGGCCAGGTCCTGGCATGAGTCCCACGCCCCGTGCCTTCACCCTCTGCAGGCCAACGAGACCTTTGCCTTTGTAGGCAACGTGACCCACTACGCCCAGGTCTGGCTCAACATCTCGGCCGAGATCCGGAGCTTCCTGGAGCAAGGCCGGCTCCAGCAGCACCTGCACTGGCTGCAGCAGGTGCTGGGAGGGCAGGGCTGGGGCGGCGGGGAGCCCCCTGTCCCAGGTGGTGGTTGGCGCAGGCCACCCTCTGAGCCGGTCTTGTCCCTTCAGTACGTGACGGAGCTGCGACTGCACCCCGAGGCGCTGAACCTGTCACTGGAGGAGCTGCCGCCTGCCCTGCGCCAGGACAGCTTCTCGCTGCCTAATGGCTCTGTGCTCTTGCAGCAGCTGGACACCATCGACAATGCAGCCTGCGGCTGGATTCAGTTCATGTCCAAGGTGGGATGGGCGGGTGTGCGCCCCACGGGCTCCGCTGGCGCCCGGGGCTGGCTCCAACCACGCCCCTCGCCCCAGGTGAGCGTGGACATCTTCAAGGGTTTCCCCGACGAGGAGAGCATCGTCAACTACACTCTCAACCAGGCCTACCAAGACAATGTCACCGTGTTCGCCAGTGAGTCGCCCCCCCTGGGGTGGCCCCCAGCCCCTGCCCTTCCACCGGCCCGGCTGCAGCCCCACCACAGCCAGCCCCACTCTGCCCCTTCTCTTCCTCCCCAACCTCACCCTGTACCTGCTGTTTCTCCCCTGCTGACTGCCCATCACAGCAGCCCACCCCCTCCCTCAGCTCCACTCACCCAGTCTGTCCCTTCCTGCTCGCTGCAGGCCCCCATCTCAGGTCTTGCCCCTCTCACACCCTGCCCCCCGTCACACCCGCACTGTTCCCCTGGTCCTGTCCCAGGCGTGATCTTCCAGACGCGCAAGGATGGCTCCCTGCCGCCCCACGTACACTACAAGATCCGCCAGAACTCTAGCTTCACCGAGAAGACCAACGAGATCCGCAGGGCCTACTGGAGGCCAGGCCCCAACACGGGCGGCCGCCTCTACTTCCTATATGGCTTTGTCTGGATCCAGGGTGAGGGCCGCCCCTGGATCCCTGGGTGGGGGAGGCCCCGCTGTGCCTGCTTCTCCCGCTGACGGCTGGCCCTGCCCGCAGACATGATGGAGCGTGCGATCATCAACACCTTCGTGGGGCACGATGTGGTGGAGCCGGGCAGCTACGTGCAGATGTTCCCCTACCCCTGCTACACGCGGGATGAGTGAGTGCAGGGTGCCCAGGGCCGGGGCGGGGGCCA